AGTGAATTATGCCCAAATGTTTATACTATGGTCAAATCCAAAAAAAAAGAGAAAAAAATCTTTCTTTAATGAATATTGACTTGGTGCTTGAAATTGTAAATTGAGTTGTTTTAGAATTAAGTCATGCACAAATTAAACAATTATGTGTTTGGTTAAATTGAGTTGTTTTAGAATTAATTCATTCACAAATTAAACAATTATGTGTTTGGTTATAAAAGGTTTAGTTTCTTTCAAGTTGTCATTTTACTTGAGAGAGTGTTTAGACTTGATAAGTCCATTTTAAAATCGATTTTGATGATTCGTATTGTTCACTTTTTAAAATTCGTTGAATAGAATATTCATGCAATAAATCAAAATGAATGGACATCAATGGTTATAAGTTTGAATCATATTTATTTTTTTTTAAAATGACAAATATAATTTTAAGAATAATCATCCATTGTTTGTAATAAAAATTTGATTCGAACATATACTTATCAATTTCCCATCACCTTAATTTTTCGTATAAATATTTTACTCAACAAGTCTAAAAAGTGAATGAAAATGAGTCTACCAAGCCCAAATTCTCTCTCATATTGATATGCCCAATTTGAGACCATCTTGCACCCATCCTCTATCTTCATATTTGAAGAAATTTTGCCTCCAATCCATCCTCTAAAATCATCTCCAATTGGGAGGAGGATGGATTGATCCTCCAAATATAGAGGGAGTATGAGAAATAGAGAAGGATTTCAATAACACTATTCATTTTATATTTTTAATTATATTATAAATAGCTTTCAATATGTAAATTTATTTTTTATAAAATTGGTATCATTAAAAAGAGTGAAATCATACCTTTAAAATAAGTATAATGTTAAATATATTTAACAAAAATTTGAAATTAAATATGAACAAAAATTGTTCACTTTTTGATGAAAATATTTTGGAGGAAAATCTTTAGAAAAAAAAAATGATAATTGTGGTTGGAGTTTGGGTGAATAGTGAGATCTCGTTTGTCAACTATACATTTTATTTAAAAAGTTAAAAAGTCAAAAAATCACTATAAGTCGTCACATCACTCTCCCTACTTTTTTGCACATCTTTTTGTAAAAACTCAAAAAGTTATTAAAATAATTTGTTCCCAAACGAGACTTAAAATACTCTATATTCACTTTTTGAATAAAAAAAAATTATATTTTCAACCTTTAATTGAAAGTGTTGGGTTGGAGATACTCTTAGACCATCTCCAACGATGAATCAGATTCATCACCATATTTGAATTTGATGAAAAAGTAACACTTTTATCTCTCTAACGGTTCCACCAAACTGATATCAAATTAAGAATCAGCCAAAACTTTCACCAAAATGAAAACCTAGAGCAGATTTCACTAAAATACTGTGCATTTACGTTGGAGGTGACCTCACCAGACAACCGCCGGCCGGTTGTCCCACCGGTCGTCCGGCTAACTGAACAATTCTCAAAACACAACCGTTGTCTACTTTCAAGTTTTGACTCCTCTCTCTCTCTCTCTGATGGACACACAGAACTGAGGCATTGTATATGGAGGCTTTGCATTTAATTGGGTTGCAGAAAAGTTAGAGATAGAAGAAAGAGAGAGCTTGGAGCTCTTTCTGAACAGGGGGTTCAAGTCGGTTTCTTGTTTTTCTGAACTCTTTTTTTGCTACATTTCGCTGAATCAATTTTCTGTTGTGTTTTGTTTGCCAATCTTTTTGAGATCTGGGTTTTGGGTTCCAGGGTTTGAGGCTTTGATTTCATCTCTGTATTGGTTTTTTTCCAATTTGATGGTAATATTTTGACTTTCGAATTTCAATGGGTTTAGGGTTTTGTAATTCCATGAATCTTTTGAATCTTGGGTCTTGAATTTCTCTGTGTTTTGAGTCTCTCTCTCTCTTTACTTTTCCTTTAATCCTATTTAGTTTTTGTCACTTTCCCAAAATGTTGAACTGGTCCACTAATTCACTGAATCCTCAGTTACTAGATTTTCAAGGTAGTCAAATCTAGGGTTTCTATTTGATCTAGTTAAAGATCAGTGAGAATTGAGAAGAGCAAAAGAAAAGATGGGTCTTTTAATGCATCTTTCACTATGGAAGCCAATTTGTCACTGTGCTACTCTGATCATGGACAAGAAGATTAGAAAAAGAGATGGGTCTAACCATTCAACAGAAGAAATCAAGAGAAACCCATCATTTTTCTGAGGTAAAATCGGAACAGAAATGGAGGGGAAAAAAAAAATTTCAGTGACATAACCGGTCGACCGGCCAATCGTCCGGCTGATCATTCCACCGGACATCCCCAGGCATTTGATGCAAGCAACAATGTTCACCGTTGGAGCAACTCGTCTCAAATTAAAGAAAGAGCCTTTTTTTTCATCAAATTTGATGAAAAAAATAATTCACCGTTGGAGATGCTCTTAGTAACTCCAAAAGTCAACAAAAAAAAGGTTAACAAACCACTAAAAAATTAGGGTAAATTATTTATAAATCCTATTTGGAAGACTGAAACAACGTATGGTCCTATGAAAAAATTTATAACCTGATAGGTCTTGTGCTTTTCTTGTGGACACATCTACCCTCAATCTCAATTAATTAATAACACATCTACCCTCAATCTTAATTAATTAATAACCTGATTAATGATAATGCCATATATGAAAAATTCAATGTTACCATAGGTTGTGATCATATTTATATGGTTAGAAATTTGAAATTTAAAATAACCTAATTAATGGCAATACCATATATGAAAAATTCAATGTTACCATAAATTGTGATCATATCTATATGGTTGGAAATTTGAAACTTAAAACATAAATGTAACATCCCAAATCTAATGTGATATTCCCAAACCCAACGTGACATTCCCATATATTTTTGAAATTCAAAATAACTTGATTAATGGCAATACCATATATGAGAAATTTAATGTTATCATATATTGTGATCATATCTGTATGGTTGAAAATTTGAAATTCAAAACATGTAACATGTAACATTCCAAACCCAATGTGACATTCTCAAATTCAACGTGATATTCTCATATGCTTCTCATCTCAAACCCAACGTAAATGTAACATGTAACATCTCAAACCTACCGTGACATTCCCATATACTTCTCATCCTAAAAACAACGTGACATCCAATACTCTACCGTTAAATTATAAATAATGTAACCTCCTAAATGTAACATGTAACATCTTAACCTAACCCATGTATTGAACCACCATCACCCCCAACCCATCGTAACTTCAACATCGAGCGATAGGATTCAATCCACATTCAATTACAAAACCAAATCTCCAATAATTTTGCTTAACGTACTATGATATGTATGTAAACACTGATTACAACAAAGACACAACACATATACAACCGAACAAACACACAAATGTCATTTACTACATGATGTATATGGATTAACGTTACACACTAAATGTAACATGCATCATAACACGATCATCGAGGCTCTAATGTACAATTGACACCCTACGACGTAGTTCACATTCGACATCTAATTAACAATCAAAACCAAATACTCCCAATCCAACCCAACCCTTGAACCCATCCACATCACACCACACATTGAGCATATCAAAACGCATCATCCATCACAATATCAAATACACACATTCAATCAGAACATTATTGTAATAGATTGTCAATACCCTATTAAAGATGAACAGTCCACATTTTAACAAACAACAATAAACTTCAACAACAAAAAAAAACCTCTTTCTCTCAACCGATTAGAGTCAAAATTTGTCAAAAGAATCAACACATAACCCTAAAACTTCATCATATCATTGACCATATCTATATCCATTTAAGTAACATTTTAAAAATGCAATGGAATCCCACGATCAAAGAAAAAAAACTCGCACGATTGTTGCCTGTAAACTTGTATTTCCTAAAAGCCTTTCCAAACGTGATATGATGAATGTAAAAATAAGGTACGATATGAAAATAAATTAGGGGTATAATAATACATTTATATCATTCATTTACAACTTATAGGACCTTATGAAACACATTTATATTTAAATAGGATTTCAAACTTTAAAAGAATATTCATAAGATTTCACATTAAACAAGTCTTTTAAATAGAACTTATAAATAATTTTTTATATTTATTTTCGTTTTTAAAAACTTGTAATTAGTTTATAAAATTTACTAAGGGAATAGTTTCATCTTGTAGAAAGAAAAAAAAAATTCCAAGCAATGAATTGAATTAGCAAATAGTAAGTGAATTGAATAATGGACGAAACAGTGAATTAAAGACTAAAACAGTGGTGTGAATTGAATTGAATTTTTGTTTTATTAAAAAAAATGCAAAAGTTTGATGTCGTAGAATGGGAACCAAAAAAGGGAATCGAATTTTTCATGATATTATCATTAATTAAGTTATTAATTAATTAAGATTTAAGATAGATGTGTTCAAAAAAATCACAGAATTTATTAATTTATAAATTTTTTCATAGGATTATATCTTGTATAAGTCTTCCAAATAAAATTTATAAGCATTTTAGTAATTTATAATTTTTGATATAATTAAAAAAAATCATTCTTAAATATATATATATATATATATAACAAAAAAACAAAGGAACAAACAAGGTGACAAACTTATTTATATATATATATATATATATTGAATAAATATATATAAACCCAATGAATTGATGATAATGTAACGACTCGGATTTTAAATTCACATCGGATTGATATTGTTCCTTTTTTTAAAAAAAAAATCTTTTATTTTTTTTTTTTTTTTTTTTTGGGATGGTTTAGGGTTTATAAATTTGTCAAATTAAAAAAAAATGAAAAATTAATAAGCTATTTTGTTGTGTGCCTACACGTTTGTATTACTTCATTTACAAATTAACACTAATTCTAAACTAATTAATTCAAAATATAATAGTAATTATTTCATTTGCGTAAAAGACCTTTTTTTTTTGTTCCACTTTTGCCCCTTTCTTCTTCTGTTCTTTTTTAGATTTTTTTCCCACAAAGTTCCCCGACACTTTCCTTTCTGTCTCTGGACGAGAGAGAGGGTCAGAGTAATACCGTTCTCAGGGCCTGCTGTTTGTTTCCTGAGAAAATGGAGTGAGAAAGAAAATTCTTGCATCATCGATTCTTAGGGCTTCTCTGAGACTTTTCTTCCAACAAAATTCAAACAATATATATAGTATACATCAAAATGGGGGCAGAGAACGCCTCGAACTCACACTCGGAATACGGTGGTGTTGGTGGTGGTGATGACAATTTCGATACCCAAGTTGTGTTGAATATCTACGACCTCACACCCGTCAACCATTACACTGTCTGGTTCGGTTTCGGAATCTTCCATTCTGGTATCGAAGGTCAGCCATTTCTGATTTCCTAATCTTGATTTGTTCAGATTTGGCTTTGTTTATGTCTATTACATTGCTAATCAGAATTAGGGTTTGGTTTAATTTTTTAATATTTTTGTTGGTTTCTATTTTAGGGTTTTTTGTAAAGATATATATATACTAGTGGTGTGGCACATGCGATGCATGTGCAATTCAGATAAATAAGCATAAAAACAAATAATAAAGAAATTAATGCAATAATATGTATATTGTCTAAATGGTAAGAGTGTTCTTAATGAAACCCAAGGTCTTGGGTTCAAATCTTACTCATGCCTTTGAATAACATTTTTTTATTTTAGGATAGAAAAATTTGTCACGTGGCAGAAGGAGAAGCTACCACACTATTAGACACCAAGTCATGTGCTCACATATATAATAGTATAGATATATATATATATATATATATATATATATTAGGGGACTCATGTGTAGTTCCTAAGGAGATTTATTGTTTAATAAGTCCTGTGATAATTATTAATATTTTTTATTAAACACTATTAAAACTAATTGTTAATTTTCAAATTTCAGCAACAGTTTGAAAATTTTATCCAAAAAAAAGCACAAATTATAAGTTTTAGCAACAGTATAAAAAAATCATCACAAAAAAAATTATAAAATTGGAACTTTCAGCTATAGTTTAAAATATTCGTCACAGAAAAGCGTCACTTATTGTAAATTTTAGCAACAATTTATTAAAATCGTACCCAAAAAGTCACTAATTGTCAATTTAGTGACCTACACAAAAAATAGTCGCAAAATATTATTTTTAACAATGATTTTGTTGAAACTTATTTTCAATAGGACTTGATAAGAATTAACCTATTGGTAGTTTACCCCTTTTTTTTTTATAATCATAATGGAGCTCCTTTTGGTTAGTACTTCTGTTTAATGCCATGGCTTGATCTTGAATTTAGAATTGTTAATTGAGAATGTTGGGGTTTTTGCAGTTTAGATTTATACTTGTTTCTCTTGATTTTTTAATTTTTCTCCAAGATCATGGATAGGAAGAGCCTCAAAACTGCTATCTTTATTTGGGTGTTTATAATTCCAATCAACCCATATTGCCTATCTTTTTGTTAAAATGTGCCAAAAGGGTTGCCTCGTAGTTGATCAGTTTTTTTCAACAATTCTACGCATCTTTAAGCCTCTTTAGGGCCTGTTTGGTGTATTTTTTTTGTAAGCTGAAAGCTCATAATAAGAAAATAGAAACTAAAATCATCGCTTTCCCAACTTTACAATAATCAGCTTTTTTTCAACTTGCTTAATCTATTTTTGCCTCGTAAATTATGAGCAAAAATTGTGCCAAAACATTCCCCCAAAGAAAATAAAAAATAAAACTATAACCAAATAAGCTGCACCATATAGGGTCTTCATCTTTTGGATTACAAACAGTCTCAACTCTCAAGTGATCTTGGCCTTAGTTTTCTCCATATGAATGCCAACCCATAAAGAATCTTATGAATATACTCGCAATATCTCTATCCACTTTCTTGGCAAGAATAAAAACTTTTCTCTAGTAAGCTTGAATACTAAAAAGAACTGAGTGATTTAGCTGAATTCTCCCTACCAAAGACTAGAGTTGCTTTTGGTTAGTGCAAATGAAAAAGAAATTACTCATCCGAGATTGGATTCTTGAGCTAATTCAATCAACTAGCCCTTTGCAATCCAACCTAGATGATATTGAAGTTACTAGAGGAACACCCAGATATTCCATAGGTCATGTGCCTTCTTTGAACCCCAATATATTCCAACATTTGATGCTTTAAATCCTTTTTCACTGCACACACGTCTTTTGGTTGAAGTAAATCGTTTTGTGAACAATCGCACAACTAGCAGCCTGCTTTCAAATAATTATGAGTTAGTAATAAATTTTTGAGAGGTACCATTTAACATTATCGTGATTGCACAACTGAATCATAACAGTAATTTTTATACGATGTCACCAATTTATTTTGCTTGATTATAGCAAAGGCCTAAAGAGATTCAAGAGCCATTTTGGGGGTATTGTCACAGCAAATACCAGAGTTTGTCACTTGGGAAACTGCTTCTAACAAATAATATTTATCGGGTTAAAAGGAAAAATGAAAGAAACAAAAGATTATTGTATTGTGTAGATTCTGCCATCTAAAGCAAAATTACTTAGTTGTTATTGTATTGTATTCAAAGACATTTCTTCCTAGAAGCATATCATTTAAAATGAAAATTTTCCATTGGTTGCAAGGTTTTAAAAAGCGGCCGCAACCGTTACGTAACGCCGTTACGTAACGGTTTTGGCGTTTACCGCCACCCGTTACGGCCGCTTTTGCAGTGTGATTGAGATTCACAGGTGTGTCGGCCGTAGCGGCTGCCATAGCGGTCGTAACGGTGTCGTAACGGCCTGTTACGCATCGTTACGTAACGGTTCAAACTGTTTCTTTTGAAAAAGTACAATTACATCTACTATGGAAATAAAAAAAAAAACAAATCATGATTACATTATTAGCAGATTCATTCACAATATGAACAAAGTTGTATAGGTTTGACAAAAAAAATGAATTTGTTGAAACTGTAAGACCTATGCTATTCTATTCAGCTGCTATCACTAAACCATTTTGTTTGTGTGTGTCTATCTATATATTGTTTGAAAATAATAATAATAATAATAATAAGTGTGGTCATTATCTATTTAGTTTGGTTAAAATATGTATATATATATTTAGGCTCTTATTTATTCTCTTATTTTTGTCATTGTTTATCTTATATATAATAGTTAGTAATTGATTTTTTGTATAATATAAAGTTATTAATTATTAAAATAAAATGTAAAAAACTCAGTTTATAATGATTTAAAAATATGAAATATATTGAATCATACTTAAAAATTTACAAAAATTGATCAATATTTATTTTTAACCCAATAAATATGATCATGGAAAAAAAAAATATGCGTATCGGTAAATTTTTTTTAAATTGTGCGAAAAATAAAAAAATTTACGGTTCCGGTTACCGCAACCGTTACACTACGGCCTTTACACCCCGCAACCGCAACCGCGTCACCGCCACCGTTACGGCGACCACAACCGCTTTTCAGAACCTTGATTGGTTGTGTTGAGAGAAAATAGGGGATGTGGGGATTCAACATCCAATTCAATTGTGGAAAATGACAATTGGAAAAAATGAATGATATCGTTAGCTCCTATGTGCACCCTTGGGGATTAGTTGGACTTTAATCCAGACACCCCGGTGCTAATAAAAAAAAATGATATCCTTAGTTTAGTATCGTGCATCCCTTTGATTGCTTCCTTTCTCATAAGAAAATTAGAAAGAAAATAGGACTCTCAAGTCAGGTATAGCGATCTAGCTTAACTCATACATTCCTTATCTCATGAAATCAAGAAGACCTGAACTCTGAGGAGCAACTTCCCCATGGTTCAATTTGATTCCATCATATACCTTCTATCCTACTTATCACTCGTGATCGCATTCTATCACATTGATACTTCTTGTTAAAGATTGGATTAGTCTTTTTGTCCATTCGTCACTCTTGTTTGAGAGTGATTAAATATCAATAGGGGAACCTCCTAATAAGGAAGTTGCTTCTTGGAAAAGTCTTTTCGCTGCCAAGCCTTTTCTTATTTTTTGGGCAAGAATCTATCTCGGTTTAAGAATTCACCCAATTGGGACATCCATTCAGAACCTGAAACCATTACCCAACGAAATAGAAGGTGTCAACTGAAGGAGAGAAATCTAAAGGAATGATTGGGCCAACCAATCTTTTGTGTATCCTATTCCAGTAAGGTCTAATCCATTTGATGATTTTGGACTCCTAATCAATTGGCCGGATGAGAATTCATATATCTGGAGAGATGAATAGATAAGGTGGAGCCAACTGAAGCAAGGGAGCTAGCGTGCCCCTTATTGAAAACTAAAGCAAGAAATGAGAATATTGACTTTGATTAAATACAATTACAAAGACTGGCACCTTTCACATAAAACAACATTAATGGTTTTGGGTAGTTCTGCTCTTGTTCAATACACTCATCTATTGAGTGTTCTTTTCCTGCTTGTTCTCAAGAATTTGGCTTTATATTGCTGCTACGATGATCCCTATGCTTTTATTGTAATCTACATGAAAAATTGGTGCAATCAAGAAAAATCATATACCAGGGTTTCAGTTATGTCAACGATTTTTCATTAAAAATTATGTCATGTGGAAATAATGGCCTTGTATTGTAAGACATTAAATAAATAAATATATATAGAGAGAGATACCACATTAAAATTAAAGGTTATTAACCTAAAATATTGGGTTCTTATGAAAGATATATTCGGTAAGCATTTTTTTCTTTTTGTTGAACGAATTAAGCTACGCTAACAATCTAATCTGAAAGAATCATTAGATTCGTTCCTAGCATTTTCTTAAATTTTTCGTTTTCCACTTGACACATAGCAACTACCGTTTTTTTTCAGTCCATGGAATGGAATATGGATTTGGAGCCCACGACTTCCCCATTAGCGGAGTTTTTGAAGTGGAACCTAAGAGCTGCCCCGGATTTATCTACCGATGTTCCATCACACTAGGTCATATGAATATGCCTCCCTCTGAATTTCGAACATTTATTGAGGATGTGGCTTCCGAGTATCATGGGGATACCTATCATCTCATCTCTAAGAATTGCAACCATTTTACGGATGACATTGCATGGAGATTGACAGGCAAACATATCCCTGGGTGGGTGAATCGGCTTGCCCGGTTAGGTATGTTCATTTTTTCCCATCATTTAATGTTTTTCTTCATCTGTTTCTTTTTGTTCGGTCTATTGATTCGTGTATTATCAACACTATCATCGATTAGGCTGTATGGTTGCAGTTCACTTCGTCCATTTGTAACTAGGAACATGCTTTCCTTTTTTTTGGGGTCTATTTAGAACTTTTGCCTGTGTGTGTGTTACATGGACTTTTCAAAATAAGTCAAATACTCATGTCGGACAGCCGACAATTAGACAAGGGTTGTGGGATGTGTCCGATAGTTTCCATTGGACGCTTATTAAATATTTTTATTTAACACTATCGTTATATGTATATATCGCTGTATAATTATTATAAAATGAGTAAAATGTCTTTTTGACTTTGTATGTAACATATAAAATCATTTTATCTCACATATTAGATTAAGAATATAAAAATGACTTTTTTTCTTGAGTTTGTTTGTCCTTTGGTTGCCCAAGGAAATGAAAATTGCTCACTCAGTAACTTCATTTCCTTAGAACACTCAAAATGCTTTGATTACTAAACATCTTTTATTTGGGGTACACATGAGAATTGTTCAAGTTAGAAACATTTTTATGTCATGTAGAATATTTCTTGGTGAAAGATGTGGTTGTTTGATTACATCCCATTTAGTTTTCATCAAAACGTATTCTCACCTAATTAATTTGAATTGGGTCACTGTTTATATCAAAATTTTCAATTTTTACATTCCTCAAATATTAAGTAGATTAATTAGTTTTATTAAATTGAATCTACTTGCCATCGTTACATTGTTCCACAATTCATTGAACTGTAAAAGAATTCTAAAATACATCCTTTTTCCCCCAAATTTCAGGTTCTGTGTGCAGTTGTCTGCTCCCAGAAAGCCTCCAAGTAACTACTGTTAAACAGCTGCCTGAGTACCACGCATGTACAGGTTTGTAGTTAATCTATTTTTTGAATTCTGTTCTTAAGACATATGAAGCACGGATACTTCTGGAAGGGACTCATATCGCATCCTGAATGTATCCAATACTGGAAATTAATTAATTAATTTTTTTAAATTTTGAGAAGTATCAGGTATTTTTTGGATACTCTGGGTTACGTATATAAAGTATTATGAAATTGATTGCATTAGGGTATAATTATTAGGTTAAATACAAGAATAATGTTTTAATGCTTTGCTTACTTATTAAAGAAGAAGAAAATTGTGAGATTACTGTATTACTCTTCTTTTTGAGAATTTATCAAATTGATGCATCCTTAATGTATGCATGATATACTAAACTCAAATTTTAACAATTAAACAAGAAAGTAAACTTGTTTATATAGTATTTAAGTGTGAAAGTGTCAAGCCCAATGGCTATAAAATAGTTTGGACTTAATAGCATTAAAAATTATAAATAAATAAAAAAAATTCAATGTATCTTGGTTGGACCCGTATTCTTCTTTTTATTTTGTTGTTCTATTGCCATATTTGTATCGTATCCGTGTCCATGTGCTTCATAGCTTATGACTTATCAACTTAGTGTCTAATTTCTTCTTTTTCACACTCATCACATCTAGAAGAAGACGGGATTGACTCTTTGTCGAGCGCAACACATGAGCCAACAGAAAGCGACGATGCAGATCAAGATAAGCTCCTGCTGTCGCCTACTGCTGGAACCTTGGAAGTTAATTTTATAAAAGAGGTCCAAAGGTGATATTGAGCCGCCTTTCTTGAATCAATCTTTGGTGGGGTAAGATGGAAGGAAATTCTTTATTGGTGGATCTATGTTTTTCTCATGAAAGGCGCGGCTTCAAGATGAATGTCTGCTCGCCATTTTCATGGCAAAGTTGCCACTCATCGTCTCTTGTTTGTACGCTTGATTGTTCGCTTGATTTGCTGTAATTTTTTTCCCCAATTTCTTCTTCACTTTTATTTTTTTATTTTTTTATATTTTTTCAAGTGGAAATTTGGGAGTGAAGAATCTAGAATAGCAAGAAATGGAAAGGGTTTGTATTTGATGATTTATACAAATATTCTGTATTGAGATCTGAGGAAATTAGTGATGACATCTCCACCAGTTGAATTTTGTAACATTATATGCCTCAAAATTAGAAGTATTAAAACTTGTCTAAATTATGAGAAATTGATGAAGGTTACGTGTGAAAATTCACAAACGCATTATATTGTTTTCATCATCTGGAGAGAGAGAGAGAGAGAGCTTTAGCAACTGAACCGTTGGAGATGCAAAAAACCGGTGGAACTGGAAAGCTGATCAGGACCAGCCCACAACATAATGGTTTGGTCCAATTTTTTGAGAAAATAGTTTGGTTATGGTTCTAAGCAATGAAGAACCACTAATCATAGATTGATTGTGATTCAGTTCACAGATTGAAGCTCAAAAGGACTTGACCGGACCATCCAACGTGATGGTCATTTATCAACGTTAAGTCCTTTCCTAAGAGAGTAGGAGGAACAATTTCTTGTTATTGTATGTAGTGGAAAGGTAGCCCTATCTTCCAACATCATGTGCACCCATGACTCATTAACCGGGGTTAATTTCCACCAGTCTGAGTCTCACCAATATAGCACATCAAGAATTACAATGCTAATTTGGACATAAAGCTCATAAACAAATATATGCTCCACCATTACTGTTCCATTCCATGTACATGCCAACAAGTCAACATGAATGAGAAGCAAAAATAAACAAAATACAACAAAGCATCAGTGAAATTTCACTGTACCATGTTTTTCACGTCTACAACTATTTTTGGATGTCTACCCCTTCTACTATTTCTCGCTTTTATGCCAATTTACGAATGCCCTTCGAGTACCAGCTTTGACGTTAACCAAGAGCATATGTCATCCAACTCTACAGGAATTGTGTAGTGGCCAAGCCTGCAAAGTTGGAGGAAACAGCCTTAAGATCCAATAAAATTTTATCAAATTTAAGCAATATAGTTATTGATGAAGATATATATATATATATATATGTATATATCAAATTGCATACCCATTGTAGGCGTTGAATGTCACATCTCGAAATCCAGATGAACTCAAGACCTGTGAGGATTTCTCACCAAATTTAAAAGGAACCACATCATCACCTGCAACAGAGTGTACCAAATTTTAGTATTGCAAAGGTGCCGTCTAAGAAGCACAGACATAGACACAGACATATGCTGACACAGATTTGTTTAGTGATGTCATCTTTGTAAAGACTTGTTTCTTCATTATTATTATTTTTATTTTATTTTATTTTTTGTAAATGTCAAAATTCAATTGTGTTGTGTCTGATTCTGTCTTGATTCTAGGACCTTTAATTATCCATTTCCATGCTTTGTTTGATTTTTTTCCTTTTGCCATTCCATCGATTCTATTTTGATTCTAGGATTTTCAAGTGTCCGTTTCCATTCTCCATTCACTTCTTTCCTTTTTGGAAAATTTCTTAATTAGTGTCCTAACTAAGTTAACAGTCTTGATCTATAACTACAGAAACCGATGTAATGACTATGCCAAAATCAGTGTTTGGGATATTAATCAAAATTCAAGATTCTCTTCTTTCTTCATACTCTTAGGCTATTCATGTGAATTTACCAACTGTGGATGTCTTTAATCTCGATATTCTTAGTGAACCAACAGGTTTATAGAAGATTTTGTTTTCATCATTTGTATACAAATCAACAGACTCAAAATACTGCCTCAAGTAGTTTTGCAATTTCTTGAACCGAAAATAAAACAAGGGGGCCATAAATTCCTATAATTGTAATCACCAACATTAATAGTCAAATACCAGGATGTTGTTAAGATTATGTCCTAGAAGCCCAGCAAGTCAAAACTTGTCAATGGGGATAGGTAGGACAATTATAGCAGTAGGGCAAAAGGTAAGAATTATTCAGCCCTAATTGTGGTGGAATGGCCAAAAAAAGTTCAAAAGCATAATATTTTTCTAATATAGCCCAACAAGTCATTTGCTCAAAGTCTTGTTGTTTGAGCTTACCAAGTTCCAAGCTTGGACTCGATCTTGGCTTGTACAACAAAGAAGCGAGCCCCTAAAAACCGCAAAATTGGTTGACCTCAAAGTGTTCATTACCAGCTAAACTTATAGACTTGGCAATGGGCATCAGGTATGAGTATGCATCCAAGTGTCGGATTCATCTAGTTCTCATGTACAAGAACAAGGGCACATGGAAAAAGATTCATATTTCTTAATACACTTTTTATTTTCTAGGGTAAAATGGTGTGTATAAGGTACCATATGGATTTTTGTGCATAGTAATAATATGTTAAACTTGGATTACTAGATATGCTTTCTGGGTGAATATCCAGCCATGTGTTGGACACATATTCATACCACTGCCAAGTGTCGAAGTGTCCAGCATAGGTACTTCATATACTTAGAAGAGTCTATGTAACAAAGGTGACAACTATTGACAGTTCCTCAGTCGATGTCTAGCCAAGAATAGAACTCCACTACCTCTTGAATTGAGTACAATATACTCTTGCTAAACCAAGTAAATCCGACATTAACAAGATATGAAAGAAAAATGTGAATACTACCTCTACCATGACAAAGCAGAACAGGCGACGATGCAGCTCGCCTTGCAGCTTCATTGTCCCCTTCTATCTTGCTACTCAAGTCCCTGGATAACATTAAAACTGTAATACTAATTATAAGCACAAGATGAATTACAAAAAGAAATTAAATGTGCCACATTGAGGATGAGTATTTTGTAGAAGTCAAACTTTGCGCATGGAAGCCAGCCGCTTAGTCCAACAGCTACACTTAAATTGATCGGGTATGGGTCACCATTCCCATATTTTCCAAGAGCAAAGCAAGTTGCAGAGTAGAGGGATGTTGCTGCACCCATACTGAAGCCTCCAACTGCAAGCTTAACTGTAACAGAGAAGACAAAATTCAATGATTTAAAAGTTTTTTTTTTTCTTTCCATAAAATTAGTAATTAGGTTATACCTCATAGTGACTATAATGGATTTTAAACAACAGAAGGATACTAGAAAATGAGTAAATTACCCTTACCTTGCCTGAAGTTTGGAAAAAAATACAGCAACCCCCATAGTTTTTGCATAATTACACCGACCTCCTTTTTAGTAAGGTCAAAAGGACAAGAACTAGTACACATGGTGTGAAGAGACAAGGATAAACAAGGAAAAATATACATTTCAGTGTAAAAGAGAAGACAACATCATTTCCATCAATATGACTAACGAATTATTGATGAAAAGGGGGCTAAGTCTTGTGCGAATTAAAACTTTAAGGGAACCCAATATAATTCTGCTAAAATTGGGGCTTACTGTATTTTCTCCAAACCTCAAGGGAGGCCAATGTAATTCACCCTAAAAAAATTCTATTGTGTTTCAAGGAACTTGAAAGAAATGAGTCTATTAGAATAAACTCAAATTAAAGAATAGTTTGATAACCATAAATCACATAAAAACAAGTGAAACAGTGTCAATTCATGAGGTCCTAGACATGATATTGTAAAATACGATAAAAGCTCATTTCAAATGTTATTAAAAGCAATGGAATTCCAAACACCTCCTCAAGTATACCAGAGATTCAAGACAAACTAGGAACATCATATGCTCCACTTGATTCTCGTGGAACCATTGGAAATATGAACCTTTTACCAGGACGGAGTAAAAGGGACTATTGTACTTTCCCATGATTCCCAGCAATCAAGCAGAGGATTAGTATTTCACATGTATGAATATAGCAAGCTATCACAAACTGGAACTTTTTTAATGAAAGGAACATCACCACAAATTAGGAACATCATATGAAAGAATGCTGAAGGAGAGAACTTACTGTCAGTGGGCTCTGTTGATAACAGACTTGCAACATGTGCTGCTGATGCATCCAAACCCTCTATATCATTTTGAGCATTTTCCGAGAGGTCGCTAATGTCAAACCCTAATTTTCATTTCACTGTAAGTAATTTGTTCATTGCAATATTACTGTAGACCATAAAATATTTTCCTTGTGTTTCAATATAATAAACAGGAAGATGGTATAGTGTTATTTTCGTAATTGTTCTTGCTTTTCCCATCATTTTTCTGTAATATTTCAGAATCAAATGTATCTTTCTTGATCCATTTACCATAATTCCAGCACTAACAACAAAAGCGGGGAAAAAAAAAAGGTTTCTCAAAACAAGTCAACTTACAAGCAGTAGAAGGAAATCCACCAAACAAAGACACTGGTTGAGAAGGAGCAGTTGGGCAAATCCACTTAATCTGCACAAAACCACATATAAATACCCTAAGCATATATTGGGATTTTTTTTTTCTAATAAAAGGATATTCAGTTTCCCATCGTGGATTGTAAGAAAAACAAGTGTTTCACAAGGGGTAGCCAATATGCAATAGATCTAAAGGTATCCTTACATTGGGAAGAGGAAGCGTCTCCAAGAGTTGGGACCAGCTGCCAAGAAAAAAACCAATTGCAAAGTTTTAAAAAGCGTTCTGAACACAGCTTCAATGCTTATTAGATAGACATCAAATAACTATCGAAATAATAGAAACGGCGTTATAAAGCTAAATCAATTTTTGTCCCACATAAAAACACAATAAATAGATCCAAGTTTTCAAAGGATATTTAAACATTCCATTGAACTACAAAGCCGGGAAAACAGCATCTAGTGCATATCAAAACAACGATAGCAAAGTGAATAAAGAGTTACCACCAATTTTTACCCCCTCTATTTCAATTGGAAACAATATTGAAAACTTGAATGCAAGAGTCTTATGGTATTGATATGTGTGCATTTTGAATGTGCCAGGAATCCCACACCTCAAGCTTTATGGTATGCATAATTTTTTTGTATGTGACTGCACACAGGAAGGCAGGGAGAGTCCTAAGCCCTAACCTATACATGCCATTTCAAAGTAGTGCAGCCATCTCAGATCCACTCGTAGACCAAAAAAAAAAAAAAAAGAAAACCTCCATGAGACTGAATTATTATTCTAGATCAATAACACTACCTATCTCATTTTACAAAATAAAAAATCCCTTCAAAAGATTCCTCGATCCTCTCTTAGCTAAAGAATACGCTTCCTCACAAACCAATATAGGAAACCCATTCAAAGGAACATACATCAATAGTTTCCTCCATGAAAGTAGAGAGCCTGCAAAGGCCTCACTTGGGCCCAAATAATTCGATTGGGGTAGTTGTTGAACCATACCACATGGTTCTAGCAACAACAAAAGCTATCAATTAAATTAACGACATAAAGATATTCTCTTCCGTAAACAAGAACAGCAATTTTTGCCATTTTTTTCAATAAAGAAGAGGCTGGAAATAAATATTTACACATGGGACACCTACTCTTAATCAAAACAACTTCGGACACCTCTCTGAAGGTCACCTACTGATGTCTGACAGGATGGGACACTTGGGACACGCCACACGCTGAGGACACGTTCAACACATGTTGGGAACACACTGTGTCTCATTTTTTATTTTATAATTTTCTAATGTCTTTACTAGAATAGCATACCCAAGATTGATGGATTTGATGCAATTAAATATTTGACATAAAATAAATATATAATATTCATAAATATGACATAATAAATATATAAAATTATATATTTTGCACGTGTCCCCAACATGCTGTGTCCGGCATTTTTTGAAGTTTTGTGTGTCCACGTGTCCTTGTCATGTCGTGTCACGTGTCCGTACTTCTTAGCACTGAACAAAACAGCCCATCATATCCTAAAACAATAATAGTTTCACCAAATGTGCTGCTTATGAGTTATTATGAGCAATGAATAACAATTTCAATACAGTCACAAGTTAAGGCAAAACCGAGCAAAGGGTACTAAAATTGTATGTTGGAATCTCATATATGGTTTTACATGCATATAGCTTGAAAGGAAAAAAGCAAATGTTGGTTGATAGATGGCATTCAGCTGCAATAGACAATAAAATAAGAGGAGCTAAAATTGCAACAAAACAGGGCATTAAAAATAAAAATGCTCACTTATCTTGTTGTCTCCTCTTACACATTGCAACAAAACTGGGCATTACAGCTATGGAATAAAAACAACTGCCCTTAATTACAAATAAAATTCTGGATATAATAATATTAAACTTCATCCGGACCACATGCAACAAGAATATAGTTACTACCTGGCACCATTATCACCGAGGCCGTGCAGCCAGACTATAGTGGTCTGGTGTCTACCTTTGGGCCTGACCACATGGGTCCTTCCAAACTCAAATGCCCTTCTAAAGGTTCTACTACCTGAAATGGAATTGGAATACAACTTTCTAAAACAAAACCAAAAATTAACACCACCACATTCATTCAAATATGGTTGATGCCCAGCCTTCATGTATGGAATGTGCACATGAACCAATAAACTCAGGCTCCATTTGGTTTAACTATAAAAGTCAGGAGAAATAGAAAGCACACCATGTTTGGTTGAATTTTCAAAAACTGTTTTCTGATTTTTAATTTTTTTTTTTCCAAAAAAAACTAAAAACTAGTTTGGTTAAAAAAATGAAAAATAAAATAAAATAAAATAAAAAATACTAATCATTTTCATATGGTTTTCTCTTTTGCGGGGCAAAACTAATTTTTAAAATTTTGAAAATATATTATTGGTGTTTATTTTCATCAAACTATCTTCTATTTCTTCAAGAAAAAAAATTAGAAAATAGATTATGAAATCTCAACCAAACAAAGGTTAAATCTTTGAATCTTGGGTTATAAAAATCTATTACCAAAAAGCGAAAGTCTTTTACCCAATGGAGCCTAACTAAACACCACAAATTCCATCCCCAAAAACCATATTTTGATTGCACTTCAACTATATCAACTGTAACTGTTAGATAATCATAGTCTACAATTACATCACTAGTACCATCTCTATTACAGACGTGTACAGGTCACAAATAAATCTAAGGGCATGTTAGATATTATTTATCTTTGATATGTTTGTAGGGATAGTCTGGATAGATAAAAAAGTCAAATTCTATCTTAAGAATTGGCATTAGTTTACCCAACATATTCAATTTGAGGAACTAAAACAACAATATACAGCATTCAAAGTTCTATTTCTTGGGATAACAGAGTCAAAACCTATCTTAAGAATTGGCATTATTTTACAACATATTCAATTTGGGGAACTAAAACAAGAAGAACAACATTCAAAAATTCAATTTTCTTTTCTATTCAAAGTTTCTTTTTATCAACCAAACATAAAAATGATTAAATTAAACCATGGACTGTAGAGAAGACCAGAAACGAACTAACCAGAACCAACAGAAGGACCGGTAAAGCTCATTTTAATCCCCCAAAAGAAGGAACTTGATTAAAGCTGGATGAGCTAATCACAGTAATTGAAACAAGTTCCTGCATTGAAAGTGGGGAAGAAAAAAAAAATTGAAATTATCCATACATACTATCAACACCCATTAATTTAAATCAAGCAATTTTGCTTAATTTGATTAACATTATGGTTAGAACATCAGACATAGATAGACAGATATATATCAAGAGAGTGAAGGAAATAAGTGATTTTGGGGGATTTAAGATTTTAGACATGAGAACACACTTGGGATGATGAGAAAAAGAGAAGTCGGAGACTCCGAGGTGATCGTAGAAGGTCTCACTCTCTGTCTCCGGTCTAGTTCTTTTCTCTTTCTATTCTCTCTGTGTCTCTCTCATCCTCACGTTGTCTATCGTTGTACTATAAGATACTCATCTTGACATATTTATTTATTTGGTCCATCCTCCGGAGCTCTAATTAGAGCCGCAAAAGGACAGGTCTAATGAGCCGTCAACTAATTAAAAAAAAAAATAGTAAATTAAAAGATAAAAAAGAGAAAAAAAAAAGATAAATTAATGCTTTATTAGAGCTCTTCTTTTAGAGGTCTAAATCATTTTTATTATTTATTTTTTCGTACCAAAAAAAAAAAACAATTTAACAACTGATTATGTGAAAAAAAATTATTTTAAAATTATTAATTAATCAAGGAGCGCTACGTAATTATACTATTCACCAATTGGTCTAAGAGCTTCTTGTAACATTATTAGGGCACTATGATGGTGTTTGGGAAGTGAGTTTTTATGTAGATTTTGGTAGTGTTTGGGAAGCAAGTTCTCAAATTTTTTTCTCATTTTTTCTACTAAAAGACAAAAGTTTTGCAAAACCAAAAAAAACACATCCAAACAAAATATCACATCCAACCCCATAATCATTTTACTTTTTCTCTCACAAACATCACATCCAACCACATAAAAACCCAACTATCTTCTCAAATACCAAAAATTTTTTATCTCATAAAAACCTACATCTAATAAAATTTACATAAAAACTCACTTCCCAAACACCATCTTTATTAGATGTAGGTTTTTATGAGATAAAAAATTTTTAGTGTTTGGGAAGATAGTTGGGTTTTTATGTGGTTAGATGTGATATTTGTGAGAGAAAAAGTGAAATGATTATGGGATTGGATGTGATATTTTGTTTGAATGTGTTTTTTTTGATTTTGCAAAACTTTTGTCTTTTAGTGAAAAAAATGAGAAAAAAATTTGGGAACTTGTTTCCCAAACACCACCTATGTGTCGGTATGTCAAGATTAATAATGTTACGTTTGAAGTGGTATAGTAGTGTTTTTGAAGTGTTATATATATAAAAGGTATATTAAGAAATATTTTTAACGGATTGGTGTTATGCTTGGAAAAAATATATTATTATTATTATTATTTTGTTATTACATTGAGTGTTTAAGTTGAAGTGTTATAGTAGTATTTTTAGAGTGTTACGATGAAAAAAAATATAATAAATTTTTTATTTTATTTTATTTTAAAATGTTATATTTAGAGTGTTACGTTTGAGTGATGAAATTGTGATAAAAAAAATTGAATCCAACTTTCTTAATATGATATTTCCCAATGATGAATGAAGGGTAAAAATATTGGCCAAATTATACCAAAATTAAAAATAAAATTTCATGATAAAGGGTTGTTTGGGATGATATAAGTGTTTTTTTTTTTTACTTTTTATGAAATATAGGTTGGGTTTGAAGTGATGTGTTAGAGAGATGATGTGATTTAAATAAGATAATGTGACTCACATAATATAGTGACTTTTTAACTTTTTTCAAGCATGTCAAATCAAGACTAAAATCAAAATAAACAAAACCTATTGATATATTAAAAAAGGGCGGTGATTGAGGGCCCGAAAGCCGTGCCCCGAATTGCCCGAAATTTCCATTTCAGGTAAAAAAAAAAAAAAAAAAAAGGAAAAAAGAAAGAAAAAAAGAGAACAGTTTCCAAAACTGGAAATTAGGGGTATTAGGGCCAATTTTTTTAGGGCCACCAATCATTTTCCATTAAAAAATTGGTGAGATTGATTGAAATAACTTATGGTGGCTTTCTAATCATTTTTCTTTATTACAGTGATCAAATTCGGAAGAAAAATGTTATAAATTTCAAATTTTTTATTACATAAATAGTTAAATGTCACAAATGTTATAAATTTCGAATTTTTTATTACATAAATAGTTAAATGTCACTTGGATCACATATAAAAATTTAATCATTTATTGAATAAAAAATTTGAAATCTTAAATATTACTCAATTCTGAAACAAAAGAAGTGAAATATGCAAGAGAGTGGAGGCTTTTCCCAATATAAGCCTTTTTTTCATTGTATTTTCAAAACTAGGCCAACTTCTGACGGAATTCCAAAACTAAGCTAAAACGCCATTACTATTCGCGCTTTTACTGTTAGGAGGCCAAAAGTTGATGAATAGTGAAATCGCTATTTGAAATCGCGATTTTAATTAAGAAAACGCTGTTCCAAATCGCGCTTTTAACATAAAAAAAATTTCTGAAGAAAACGCTATTTAAAATAGCGCTTTTACTGTGCATATAATAATTTTTTTTTTTTTTTTTAAAAACGCCATTTGAAATGGCGTTTCTACTATTGATTCACCAACCAAAGCCAACACACACTGACACACACACACCAATGAAATAATATAATTTTTATATATAATAATAATTTATAATAATTAATTATATAATTTTTATAATTTTCGTAAATATAAATCATTTTTAGGTTATGAATGGTTTGATTTATAATACGTATGTAAGGATAAAAATTTTTATAATCAAAAATAATTTTTTCAATTTTTATAATCAAAAATAATTTATAAATTATCAAAAATAATTTATAATACGTATGTATTATTTAAATCTTTACATTTTTTATTTAAAATTTTTTACAGTAAACCGATCTTCACATTTTATAATACGTATGTATTATTCAAAAATAATTTATAAAAATTTATAATTAATACGTATGTAAATAATTTAATACGTATCTTCACATTTACATTTACAGTAAACCCATCTTCACATTTACATATGTATGGTTTAAGGGTAAATTTTTTGATAAATGACTTAAATGATAAATCAAACCATCCATAACCTAAATTTTTTTACCCTTACATACGTATGGTTTAAATAATTTATAAAAATTATTGCCATACGTATGTAAAAATCGATTATAAAAATTGCAAAAATTGATTATAAATTTTTTTATATATAATAATAATTTATAATAATCAATTATATAATTTTTATAATTTTTAAAATAGAGTCAGTAAGAGGTGAGTCGTAGAGGACGCCTCATACCAAGGGAACCTATGACAAAGAACAACGGCATGTCTAGGGGAAGAGACTTTGCTTTCATACAGTGAATGAAGAAAAATCCAAGAGGACACACCACGATGCCGGGAGCAGCTCACCAAAAAGGTTGAAATCTGTTGATAGCCCAGCGCCCAGTCAAATGAAGGAGGATCTGAGAGACTACCTCCAGAGGAAGCGACTCAATGCCGAGGTCACATCCCCCATCAAGACGAGGACGCCGTTCTTAGTAGAATTGGATAGGTTTGAGGCCTCAAAGAGGTTCTATATGCCAAGGTTCCAGATATATGACGGTAAGTCCGATCCGAACTTTCACGTTGGCTTGTACCTGAATTCAATGGCACTGTATACCGGGAACGAGCCGATGCTATCAAATGGCGTTTTTAAAAAAAAAAAAAAAAAAAAAAATTATTATATGCACAGTAAAAGCGCTATTTTAAATAGCGTTTTCTTCAGAAATTTTTTTTATGTTAAAAGCGCGATTTGGAACAGCGTTTTCTTAATTAAAATCGCGATTTCAAATAGCGATTTCACTATTCATCAACTTTTGGCCTCCTAACAGTAAAAGCGCGAATAGTAATGACGTTTTAGCTTAATTTTGGATTTCCGTCAGAAGTTGGCCTAGTTTTAAAAATACAATGGAAAAAAAGGCTTATATTGGGAAAAGCCTCCAAGAGAGTGCAGGTAGTCCCTTCCACAGTAGATAACATGCTAAAAAGAACATAACCAATCAAACGGTTGTGATCAAATACACGTCAGCACAACATTCTCTCACCTGCCTATAGTTCGCTTACGCTGCCCTAAGGTATTGGATTCGTCTCTTTCACTCTCTTCAAACATCTCTTTCTCTCTCATTCCGCCATGTCAAGCTCAGCCACCAACGGCGTCGCCGGCGATCACACAACCACCGCCATCAATGCCGCCGCCGCCGCCGGTGTCGATAAAGGCGTCGACTTCGCCAACTATTTCTGCACCTACGCCTTTCTCTATCACCAGAAGGAGATGCTCTGCGACCGTGTTCGCATGGACGCTTATTACAACGCCGTTTTTCAAAACAAACACCACTTCAACGGCAAGGTTTGTCTCTTATTTTCTATTCCTACGTTTGGTTCCTGAGAAACCTGAATAGCTTAGAGGAAAAAGATAATTTTGTTTTGTTTTGTTTTGTTCTGTTTTGGGAGTGATGAACTTAACTCTTACAACTTATGTAGTTACTTTTGTTAAACTAATTTGAATAAATTCCTTTTTTTTTTTCAAATTATGAAAAATCAAACCTAACAAATTTTTAAAAAAATTTTCCCCTCTCTTCAAAACAATCCTACGTTTGGTTCCTGAGAAACCTGAATAGCTTAGAGGAAAAAGATAATTTTGTTTTGTTTTGTTTTGTTCTGTTTTGGGAGTGATGAACTTAACTCTTACAACTTATGTAGTTACTTTTGTTAAACTAATTTGAAAAATTCCTTTTTTTTTTTTCAAATTATGAAAAATCAAACCTAACAAATTTTTAAAAAAAATTTCCCCTCTCTTCAAAACAAAAGCTGTACCCTCTATGCTATGTTTGGTTCATTGGAATGAATACGGAATGGAATGGAATGAAGATTCTATTTGTAATATATGTTTTCAGATTTTTCTTAGTGAACAAAACTTGATAATGAGCATTATTCTATCTTCATTTCAATCAACCAAACTCTACCTTAATGTAGAGTGGCACGTATATTATATTACTAGCGCCGGGTGCACACATTCTGCTTGTGAATTTTTATATCGAAATGTTTGAGTATTTTTTGAATGAGAAATAACAGTTGGTTTCGAAAATTGATCAGTTAGTAATTCTAGGGATATTTTTACAAAGATTGAAAAAGTGAGCTGTATGCTTTATATAATAGAGTAGTGTATGCTTGCACAAACAAAAAACGGTTGTAACTGTCATGTAGGAAAAAAACATTGACGGAAGAAAAAAAAAACCCGGAGAAATCAAAATTTAAAGTAAAAAACGTGGACAATTATATGGAGATAATTTGGGCATGAAAAATTATGTGGCATAGCTTTGCCAAGTGAGTTGTGTGCTTTATGTAATATCATAAATAGATATATACATATACGTAACATAAATATGGGCATATGTTGGTTGACTCATTAGCAACATAATTATGGATGGAGTCTTATGACCTCAGGAGAGAGTCATTACATTCTAGAGATTCTTTACACACACAAACCATGCATTTGCACAGCATATGCTTAAGAGGAATGTTGTGAGCATTACTCTATGTTTAAACACCCATAAACGTCCACATGAACAAATGCACACATGCACATTCTTCTTGATTGGGTGTTGTCCCTTTGGTTTTTTTGTATGGAATTTGTGTTTGGGGACTAAATTGGTGAATTTGTGGAAAAGACTGTGTTGGATGTAGGAACTGGGAGTGGCATTCTTGCAATTTGGGCAGGGCAAGCCGGTGCAAGGAAGGTCTATGCAGTGGAAGCAACAAAGATGTCTGAACATGCCCGTGCACTTGTGAAAGCAAATAACCTTCAAGGTGTGGTTGAAGTGATTGAGGGTTCAATTGAAGATATTACTCTGCCAGAGAAAGGTTACAACTTGCAATTTCCAATAGTAACTGTCCCTTCACCAGCATGTTTTGTATGCTATTTTGTATTTATACTTTGTGGGAACTCTATGAACTTGACATTTTTAAATTGATTGATGGTCAGTTGATGTAATTATCTCGGAGTGGATGGGATACTTTCTTCTGCGTGAATCTATGTTTGATTCTGTGATTTGTGCACGGGACCGCTGGCTGAAGCCAACTGGGTCTATGTAAGTACTTCTACAATGGATGTTTTTACATGTTTACAATGGTTTTAGTGTCATGAGCTTTTGTTCTTTTGAATTATGGCTTCTTTCATTTTTTTTCTCTTTATTACTGCTTGGATTGTTTATGAACTTTAATATATCCTTCCTCATGGAGCCTGGATGCTTGGGGACTTAATCTCATCAATGTTACTATGGTGCATGTAAATTTCAATGGATCCAACTGTCATATTTCAGGGCCTTTTCGTATGCACCTCTAAGGTTTACACTCATGAGAAGGTTGTATTGAACATGTTATTTGTAAAGGACTTACAATTTTTGATGAACTTTGAGAGTGTGAGCATTAAGTTTGGATTATAAATTACGATCCATAATCAAGGAGATTAATATAAATGATACAAAATCTCAAATGTAGAGTTCATGGTGTTGTGTGATTGACTTATTCCAATTAAATTAGTAGGGAAATATTATAAAGTAGGTACAAATCAATGCTTTTGTTTTATGAGTAGGTAGGTGGCAGTCAAAGAATGTATAATATATGGGGCTCGATTGAGAACACTAGGGATGAAATATTGAGTTGGGGTAGGAATCCAAAGAATGATGGACTCACTTTTGAGACCTAATATTAGTACTTAGCTTAGCACCAATTGGCAACAAAATGGTGAAATTTGGCCATGAATTGGATATGTTTATTGAATGCGATAGTGGCTTCTAGTTAAAATTTAATGTGAGCCACAAGGTAGATTCTGTTAATAATAATGTTGGATATTTAAATGGCCTTGTGTAAATTGCAATGTTATAAAAACGTAAAGCTAATCAGTGTTCCTGCAGAGCTTGCACCAAATGATTTGATTTTGATAATTAGGAAGAGAGGCTTGTTGTTAGATAATCTTTTGATGAATGTGATTTGTGTTCTGCAATTGATTGAACAGGCTTTCATTTTGCAGGTATCCCAGCCATGCTCGCATGTGGTTGGCACCAATCAGATCTGGATTGGGAGATCAAAAAATGAATGACTATGAAGGATCCATGGATGATTGGTTTTATTTTTTGGATGAGACTAAAACTTATTATGGTGTTGATATGAGTGCTCTAACGAAGCCTTTCTCCGAAGAGCAGAAAAAATACTATTTACAGGTCAGTGCTAGATTTCTGCAGGCTCTAATTTAGCGATCATTATAGTGCTCTAACTTAGCGATCATTATAGATGAATTATTGGCTAGCACTTTTCCTTTTATCAGTTGGTTAGAGGGTGGTCCGTATATCATTATTTTCTTGTCCTAATTGATATGTAGTTCTAATAGAGGGTTGAAATTTTGTGCCATAATTTTTTTTCCCACATTATACGGTAAGTTTATATGTATAGAATACTTATGTTTGGCTCTTTCATAGTTTTGGTTCCTTCATTTCTTTGGCTCTTTCATGAAATGCTCCATCAGACTTGAACCTACTTTCTCATGCTTCGTAGCTTGAGTTTTTATGTTCACACCGTGCTATGACCCTTATATATACAATTAGTACTCATAATCTGAAGAGTTCCACCAGTTCTTTAAGTTTTATGTAAATTTTGAAGAATTCAATGATTGTCTCAAGCTTGCTGGATTGTTCATTTTTTAAACTCTTAAAGTCTTCTCCTCTTCATGTCTTTTGGTTAACTTGGTAGAAAATGTTGAACCTGGTCCTTAAGGTATCTAAACCTTCAGTTTTTCTCATATTCTTTTCCTCAATCTTTTGTTACTTTTTATCTATATCTTTGATTCTTTCATCTTTTTAATCTCCACTCATTTTTGTGATCTCATTAATGTTGTGGTGGGATGGTGGGCCTGCTTCATTGTTTGTTCCCGTCAAATAAAAATTCTTTCAATCATTTAATCCTATATGCGATTTTTCTGGCATTAAGGTTCGAAGTTTTAAGCAGACTTTGTTGGAGGGATTCTATTAGGGAAGAGGGGACTTACTATATAGTGTTGGACCATAGGTTATGATCTAGTTACTCTGGTTATTCTTGATTCTTGTTTGATGTTGATGTTTAAATATTTGATGTGTTGATGATATTCATGTGTCTTTGAAGTTATTGTTCTCTATCATTACTTTCTGAGACTTGGTTTCATATATTTCAAACCAAGCTACATCGCCTGTTTACTGTTATATTCTTATATTTGTGGAGGAAATTATGTTATTGATAGTTTCTCCCTTTTTAGAATTGTATTCTTATAGTTTTGTTGTTAATAGCATATTTAATTGGTGGCATCTTTTTGCACTTGTTCATGTTAGAACTCGTGGTAATCAAAATTCTAATCTCTTCTCTGCTTAACTGTGATATGAGAGGCTTCTAACTCTGTGCCTTAAAACTCAAGGCCCTTAGCAGTTTGCACCCATGCATAGTAGTTCTGTGTTTTATCTGCTAAAACTGATATATATATATATATATTCTTCGAATTATCTTAAAGTTAACTTATGCTGTTGATTATTGCTTATATTCCTATCCTATGTATCCTAAAAGATTATGCTATTATATTTTTGTAGACATCACTGTGGAACAACCTTCATCCAAATCAGCTTATAGGGTCAGCTGCCATGATAAAGGAGATCGATTGTTCAACGGCAACGGTAAATGACATTCTTGATGTCAGAGCAAGCATGTCATCATTAATCACTACAGAGGAAACGAGGCTCTGTGGGTTTGCTGGGTGGTTTGATGTCCATTTCCGAGTGAGTTGATCTTGAGTGTCCCTCATTTTTATGACATGCAATAAATCTTAACCCTCTGTGTACTGACTTGAAAACTTCTTTATGCACCTTGTTTGGTTTCCTTAGGGAAGTAAGGAGAATCCAGCTCAACATGAAATTGAGTTGACCACTGCTCCTAGTGAAGATTATAGCACACATTGGGGCCAGCAGGTTGTAACCCTACTTGTGAAATGATTTTCTGCCTCGCATTTTACGATGATTTATTTGAAGTTTGACAAAGATTTCAGTGTTTGCAAATGGAAGTTTAACACACGTCTCTGCATCATTTGTGGTTCCATATTACAGTTATTGTTTTGCCATTCTATACATGGCACCATCAGCAAATTACATGATTTCCTGAAAATCTAATGTGGTTACAGCTATTTCACGTAGTTGTACTTGGCACAACCTGACTTTTTTATTAACTTAAAATTTGATTATTATTATTATTTTATTCTGGAATGTCCAATAATCCTTGTGCTTTGATTTTGGGTTAAGTCACTAGTCTGTCTATTGTCACAAATAATAACTGTAAGATATGATGCTTTTACATGATTTGGATAATATCAAATCTGCAGAGGACATAGGGCCGTTTGGTGCAGCCTCTTGCAAGCTAAAAGCTGAAAATCATAAAGCAGAGGCTAAAAGCAACTCTTTCCTTGCTTTCGAATAATCTACTTTTTTCCAGCTTATATAAACTATTTTTCCTTTGTAAGCAGAAGCTGCACCAAACAATCTAGTGCAGATTTTCAAAATAAAAAGGTTATAAGCAGCTCCATAAACTGTTCCAAACAGGGCCATAGTGATAGTTGTGAGCTTACAGCTATTACCTTGTGGCTGTACGATGTGGTGAAATGCTGCTGCAGCATTGCTTCATCTTTTAAATGCTGGTTTCATGCTTATGCCCATTAATCTGGTTTTGTTCCAACTTTTCTTCTCTTGCTTTATGGGCAGGTGTTTCTCTTGCATCCTTCAATACATGTTAGTGAAGGCGACAATCTAGCCATTAATTTCTCAATGACTCGATCCAAAGAAAACCATCGGTTGATGGAGGTTGAGCTCAGTTGTGAGATAAAACAGCCTTCTGGCAGGCTGCTTCCGCCATTCAGAAAAAAGTTTTACATAGAGTGAGGTAGAAAATAGATATCACTAACAATTACACTGGTACGCCTTTTTAGAACCTTAGTTATCATATGAACATACAATACATGATGTGATTGCTTAATTGCCTTAAGTGGAGTGGTGGTGCAATTCGGTCAAATTGAGTTTAGGAGGTTTTTATTGGTGCAGTTCAAATTTAATTTCTGTCTGGTACTAAATTGCTTTCTATGCCTTCGAGAACCTTTACAATCACATCTATTCTATTATATAAAGCACACAACTCAGAATGTTGTGAAGTTTTGTCACAATTTTCATTCCCAAAATAACCCCAACAACATTAGGTTTTGTTCTCCAACTATTTACCTTTGCATAGCAGTTACTGTAAGGGCTAAAGCATATAACTAACGAAACCAAAAACTGTTGTTCAATAGTCCACGACCCCCTTTCTATTCTCGCCCACGATCTGTTCAATTTACCCTTCTAGTATAAATAGAATTTGCAATTCATAGCATTCGGTCAACTATCCACACTAAAACTGACCCATGTCCTGTCTGTTGTTGGTTCGCTAGCATCAACATGAACTCTCCCTCTTTTTAAAGTGCTGCCTTCAATAATATGTGGGTGATGAATTGATCCTGTCTTAGACCTTAACCAAAACCCATTAGTTTTCTGGTTAAATTGGATTATATAAATTTATTTAAATTTGGTAGGTTAGTGGGTTTTTGGGCCTTGTTTAGTTATTATACATGATATAAAATTGAGAAAATTTTGCATTTTAACCTGCTGTATGGTTATTGAGTTCTGATGTTGGAATACTGAGCGAACATCATTTATTGAAATTTTAGTTACTCTTTAAAACAACACCCATTCTCTGAAGTGTTACTGTAAATTTAGATGCTTCAAAATCATTTGATTAGCTGATTTTATGAATGCTTGTATCAGCTGTGTTATATTATTTGCTTGGTGGGAATTTGACTTCTTAATCCTGATGTCGTAATTGTTAAGATTATGCATGTAGGCGTAATTACTACTTTTTAAGATTTCCTCACGTTGCATTTTCTGATGTTTGATACACCGGAAAATGAAAGTCAAACAACAGAAACGTTTTCGGTAGTCAACGATTTATTTGGACGGAAAATGTTTTCCACTTTTGAAATGTAACATTTTTTTATCTAAAATCTTACCAATATCACTGCACTACCATAACCACAATCACCTTCACCACCTCACCACCACGACTTCTACTTGCCCACCACCACCAGCACCACCACCTCCATCTCCACCTCCACCTCCACCTCCATCACCCCACCACCACTAATACAACCACTTGTACATTAGTTTCAAGAACGTAACCAAACATAAGAAAACATTTTCCACGAAAATTATTTTATGGATTTTTTTAGAAAACATTTTCTGCTGGAAAACTGAAACAGGGTGTTCCTATAGTTTATACTTGCTGTGCTCATGATTGGATAGCAAAATTTCTAGTTGTGGATTGGATGTGTTATATGCTCCATTTGCTTAATCAAATGAGCTTTGCTGGGTCTGATGCTCTTTATTTAATTTTGTGCAGTCTTTGTTTAATTCCGTATATGGGCATGTTTACATCTTTCTGAATAGAACCTTGCTATGTTTCAGTGCCTCCAACGAGTGGGACGTGTAACCTGTAACTTTTGGTGCTGGCCACATCGTCAGGTTATCATATCTGTGAAGGCCTGTGTCAAATTTTGAGCAATTTTGGCTACTAAGTTCTGGTGTTGTATTATTATTTTGCTTTTGTTTTCAGTTTTTGTCATGTGCTGAAACAAGCATCTTGTTAATTTATTGACAATTTTGATTTCACAGTGTTGTTATAGTAGAGCCAGAAATTTTTTCCTTTTTTTTCCCCCCTTTTCAGAAGTAATGGGAATTGATATTATATAGCAATGTTTTATATATGAGAAAATATTGAACTATTACAATTCCCATTGATGATTGATTCATATTGCAGAATGCCACTACTCTCTCTATCTTTCTGGTCTTCTTGTTTGACAGGCAGTTGCATCATTGTGAGAAGAGCACAATTCACAATGAAATCATTTTCTCGAGAGGGGTGGGTATGAAGAGAATTTTTTCAGGTGTATTTAGTTCCATGTTCGAGTCCAATATCTTGGTGTTATCCACATGAGTGTAAGTGGCTTACAATTATTGCATCAACTGTGGTTATTTTAATGAATCCTTGGTGTTCATTAGTTGGCTTTTTTGCTTAAAATTATGATAGTGTAGCCTTTAATTACATCGTAAGATGCTTCTATGTAACTCTAAAAAAACTCCACTTTTTCAGATGGTCAAAGTCATAAAGTCAATGAATTTAAAGCCACATTAATTCTCTCTCCCTCTCTCATCTTTTTTTTCACTCTAAAAACAAATAGTTTTTGTATGCACACATAAACTAGTTACATAATCATATATATAATAAACGTGAATGAACAAAATTTTACAAGATTTGTTGACTTTTGAATTTTTTTCCCAACTCATATCCATCGTGATTGGTTTTGTGATCAATTTCCATAATCGTAAGCAAATGATTCCTTTCTTAACTTTGAGGCTTTCAGCAGAACTTGCTGAATTCAACACACCAACATAAACTTTATTCACTTGCCATCTCTATAAAATCTTGAATACTCACTAGCATTGTATTCCTATACTCTCTTCACCTTCCCAGTTTTCAACCTACTTGACCATCTTTCTCACCTTTCTACTCCTAGAAGATGTATAGAGCATCGAGTTCGGCTAGAGTCTCTGATGAATTTTTGGTGAACTTGTTGCTGGCTGCAAAGGCCTCTCCGGTACTGAAATCTTCAGCCTCTGGTGACCTGCCTGTGTATGATCAGATTTCCGATGCCATCAAGAAGGAAATCTCCCCGTTGCAGAAGTCGCCGCGATTGTGGGGGGAGAATGTTATTCACCTTATCCCACTTATTTTGATTCTCTGTGGTTTGATTCTTTGGTTTTTCTCTAGTCCAATTCAAAAGTGATGAAATCAAATAACCAAAGTAAGAACTTTTTTTTTCTTTTTGTCTGCTTCTTGATCTCTTTTACTGTTGTCCTGAGATTGGGATAGATGCTTTGGTGATGTATCACTGCTCAATTGTTTGGGAAGTTGTTTCCGAATGAAGGTAGAAGAACCTTGCTTACTTGACTCAAATCAATATTCTTACTATGTTTATATTTGTAATTTTTTGAAATATTCTCTTTTTTATTTTCAAAAAGTACAATACTTGGTTTAGTACAACTCAATGCTCAATCTAAAAATAAAAGTTTTTGTACTGAATTTAAGTAATTCGAGTACAACCTAAACTCTTTCAAGTAAGCTCGGGCAAACTAATTCAGACTAGAAGTTAGACTTGGGAAGAATTTAAACAAATGCTTATATATTAGATTTAGACAGACTCTTAAGTCAACTGAATTCACAAAAGTTGCAACCCTAATAGTGAATACCTTCAACCCAAAAATGAAAAAAGTTGGATAATAATCCCAAAGCCAAGAGGCCCAAGTCATGACCCTCACCTAGAAAAGAAAAAAAGGAAACAAGATTGTTTTGTTTTTGTTTTTGTTTTTTCGGTTAATAAATAAAATTTTGATGGTAGAGATACCTTGGACCACTCGTACAAGGTGAATTTCTGGTGCATGTAATTATCTGTTAACTTCATGTATCAGGTAAGTCTGGGCACATCACCAAGGATTGGTCAAAAATGAGGTTGCTATCACAGTTTGTAATGTAATCTGTAATGTGTTTGATGGTGTTACCTTTTATTAGTAAAGTTGAGTTTGCTTCCAAGCAACACATTTATACATCACCAAGGCTGGCTGGCAAATATAGTGATATATGAACTTTAATGCTCTGTTTGGTTGGGGGATTTGGATAGGGATTTGGAAAAAAAAAAGAGAAAAAGTGTGTGAAACTAGGTGAAATGTAGGCATATTTTATTCACATTTCACCTAACTTTTCCCTTTCCCTTTCCAAATTTCCCAACCAAACACAGCGTAAAGGAAGAATATATTTATCTACAAAATATATATATATATATATTATGATTGAATACAAACGTAAGCATTTATAATTTTATATTTAAATATTTTGGCAATTTTGATAAATAAAAAAGATGAATTGAATTTGATAACAATGTGTAGTTATTTTTTTTGAGACAGATTACAATATAAGTGCTTTTTAAAAGGAAAAAAAAAAACCTTGTAAAACTTTAAACCTTTTAAATTGTGTGTCTTGTATAATAGTATAAATGTTTTATCTCGGCTTGGAAAGTGTCAAACATATTGAAAATTTAGGCATGCTATCAAACCAATACATGTAAGATTAATGCTTAAGGGCAACTTAAAACTATGTATCAATTTATAATGGTAGTTTTTGTTGTCCAAATTGTGAAATTAAATAAATAGATTCACGAATAAATCAACATTATATACCAAGAACACATGCTGAGAATTACAACTAAGCAAAATGAAGTTTGCACGGTAGTAGTTTCCTTAAAACAGATTTTCGCCATCTCATGGGTCGAGTGCTTGAGGAATTCCAGCGTCTGTCTCCCAAGATATGACGGTCAAAAACCAGCTACGGCAGAAACATTCTCTGTCTAGCTTAGTGAACAAAACCCGTGGCAGTACTCTCTCACTGTAGGAACTTTCTGACAAACTGACTTGTAAAATGGAAGAAAAAATTTCTATGTTGAGACTGGACAGAAGGGTCTCAATTTATACATGTATAGGGGAGAGAGGAGGAGCCTCCAGCCTTTATGGCTGGTCCTAATGCACCATTAACCTCTGCAATATTGCAAGAGTTGCGAACATATTATACACACTAATCCCACTATCTCTTGGCAATTTCTTATTCAATTCTCAATAGTTTTGCAAAGTATCTAGACCCACTTGGACTTAATATAATATATGGTTGGGGTCCACTTTAATATTTAATTAAAGTCACCAAAAACTCATTTTTTCCAATAATCTCCCACATGAATAAAAATTGATTGAATGACTCAACAAACGGACATCGTTCAACAATAATGACTCGGAGAGAGAGTACAACAGACTAACCTCGACATTAGAGAAGGCAACTTTTGGCTTTGAACCTCTCCTAGTGAAAACCTATCGAGTTTACTGGCTGATCAGTGAATATGACATCTTGAACTGCTCTGCCGTTTATATAAACTAAGACAATAGATCTCACACGGGAATTACTCTTACCACCATTATGTTCTCACTGGTGTACCTTGTATGGCCCTGAGCACTAGCTTGGTTCAGCGAGTGGTTTCAAAGAATTTTGTGGCGTAAATATCTCATTGCAAAATATCTAGACCCACTTGGACTTAACATAATATATGGTTGGGGCCCACTTTAATATTTAGGCCTCGTTTGGGAACCCTCCATTTTAGTCAAAAAGTCAAAAAGTTACTAAATTAGCCAAAAAGCCAACAACTCATACCAAAAAGTCAAAGATTCTCTTTTCTCTCTACTTTTTGCACATCTTTTCGTAAAAAGCCAAAAAATTATCCCAAACATACTATTTTTTTTTAGCTCATATTTTAGCCAAATAACCAAAAAGTTACTAAATTAGCCTGTTCCCAAACGAGGCTTTAATTAAAGTCACCAAAAACTCATTTTTTCTAATAATCCCCCACATGAATAAAAATTGACTGAATGACTCAACAAACGGACATCGTTCAACAATAATGACTCGGAGAGAGAGTATAACAGACTAACCTCAACATTAGAGAAGGCAACTTTTGGCTTTGAACCTCTCCTAGTGAAAACCTATCGAGTTTACTGGCTGATCAGTGAATATGACATCTTGAACTGCTTTACCATTTATGTAAACTGAGACAATAGATCTCACACAGGAATTACTCTTACCACCATTTTGTTCTCACTGGTGTACCCTGTATGGCCCTGAGCACTAGCCTGGATCAACGAGTGGTTTCAAAGAATTTTGGCTTTTCCAATTCTTCTAGAAGTGGCCCCACTTCACACTCATATATGTGACTTTTCAAAGTATACTGCCATACCCTGTTTGAATCCTCAATACATAAGAGTCATTAAAAGCTTTACTTAACATTCACCCCCACAGGTATCACTGCTTAAAGGAATGGCTAGAGGGTTTTACCCCCACAGTGACATACCATTGTTACACGCAATTAGGTTGTCCCACTGAACCTAGATCTTGGGATCTCTAGTCAACTAGGTTGGGTTCCCATTCCGGTAACTTCCAAAGGCCTCAGCCCCATTCCTTTTGACGACGTCTCGACTAACACTTGATTTAACCGTTTCGTTAGAGAATCCGCAATGTTGTCCTTAGACTTTACATAGTCTATAGAAACAACTCCATTCGAGAGTAGTTATTGTATCGAATTATGTTTACGACGGATATGTTTAGACTTTCCATTATACATATTACTCTGTGCCCTGCCAATTGCAGATTGACTATCACAATGAATAAAAATAGCTGGCACAGGTTTAAACCAATGTGGGATATCTTCAATGAAATAGCAAAGCCGTTTAGCTTTTTTCATTGCTTTATCTAAAGCAATAAACTCTGATTTCATCGTTGATCTAGATATACACGTTTGCTTGGAAGATTTCTAAGACATGGCTGTCCCACCAAGATTGAACACATATCCACTAGTGGACTTTGAGTCCTTTATATCTGATATCCAATTCGTGTCACTATAGTCTTCTAGCACCACTGAATATCAAGTATACTGTAGCCCATAATCCCGAGTGTAGCGTAAATACCTTAACACCCGCACGATGCCTTTCCAATGAGTAGCATCGAGATTACTCATGTATCTACTAAGCTTGCAAACCGAGTAGGCTATATCCGGCCTAGTATAACTCATCAGATACATCAAACTTCCAATTACTCGAGAATATTCTAACTGAGAGACACTCTCTTTATTATTCTTGG